CCACCAGCAAAGTACTGAGAGTATTAGTTTCCCCCCATCCTTGCTAATACAGTATCTTACCAAACGCTGTAGATCACCGTCAATTTGATAAGAGAAAAATGACAGGTCAGTGTCATTTTCATTTGTATTTCCCTTATTACAACCAAAATTGGGTATCTGTTTTTGTATGTTTAAGAGCCACTTAAATTTCCTTTTCATATTTCTGCCCATTTTAAAAAATTGGGTTGTGAACCATTCCTTATTCATTTCAAAAGTTCTTTGTATACAAGGAAAATTTGTCCTTATTCTGTGGTATTAGCTGCAAATATTATCTCTTCAGTTTGTTGACCTGTCATTTAAATCACAGCTTAAAAATCATATTATTCAAACAGTTTCCGCATCTAACTTAGAAAAATCTGCCATTGCTTAATATGTACCTATTTTTATACCTAGTATACAGTTGATGCTTAATCAATATTTGCTGACTGAATAAATACATTTATCATTCACTAAATATTTATTGATTATCTGGGATTTAATACAGGTACTGCAGAAACAAGAGAAAACAAGTTCTCTGCACTTACAAAGAATTCTCAGTCTGGTGGAGAAGAGAGTTACACTAACAATTAACTATAAAACAATGTGGAAAAAGTACTTTAAAATACATGCAGTGCTATGGAAAAAAATAAGAAAGCAGATAATTATGTATGGAAAGCTATAAGTAGTAGTAAGTAACATCTGCATTTGGAGAAGGATGAATTGGTGAATAAGGAAGTAAAAAGCATTACCAGCAGAAATACAAGCAATTCACATGAAGCAACTCTCATAGGATGGTTGAATACAGTTAAAAAAGTTGGCTTGGATTAGGTTGTATAAATTTTGTATACAATCTTAAGAAGGTTGTATTTCACATGGTAGGCTTATCACAGCAAAGAGGTTTCATCTCACATACTTTCATTAACTGGTAATGATCTCCCAGAACATTCTGCAGAGAAGTCTAAGGCTGTGTCTTAGCTTAGCAGGAGGGTACTATCATTGACAGTCCGCGATGCATTTAGAAGGGGGCAGTGGAAACAGGAAACCAACTGAGGCATTTGAAGTTCAAGAGTATCATAAACATATTTCTGTTCTTGGGAAAGATAACACTGATGGCACTGTGGAAGACTAGAGAAACTATAGAAACTATATCTTATTCAGATTAGAATTTTCCTCCTTTCTACCAGTATGATAGTGTCTGACAGACATTAAATAATGTGTTCTGAAAAGTGAATGAAGTGAACAATCAAATAATGGAGCCAGTCAGTGAACAGAGCCTTCACTAGGAGCAGAGCTCAGGAGCTTTAGTGGACAGATTTACTGGTATCTGTTTTGACTTCTCAGAAATTTTCCCTTCATTTCCTGTCTCTTGGTCTCTTCTGCATAGGTGAGGTTACCAGATAGATGAGTTTGGAAATGTAATAATTGAAAATATGTAGGAATAAAAAACAGTAATTTCAAAGAACCATGGAATATATGTAATCATACTGAATAGAAATAGCTTTATTAGTTCACTTAATCTGGCTTGCACATTATTTATATTTATAAA